GGAGGAGGAGGAGGAGGAGAAGAAGAAGAAGAAGAAGAAGAAGAAGAAGAAGAAGAAGAAGAAGAAGAAGAAGAAGAAGGGAAAAGGTAAATCCAAGTACTAAGAAATAGTATTTTAATAAGCCTTTGTAGAACAATCCTTACATGGGGAAGGTATAGTTATGTCATTATTATTTAATTTTAGAAGTTCACACTAAAAAATCTGTCAAAGACAAATCCCACAGAAAGTGCAATGAATACAATCTATGTCTCTCAGAACTAGTATTCTTATATTTCATAGGATTCTTATCAACTCAATAAGTGTTAATATTTGTAATATTTGCTTAATGTGAGAACATTTAACATGAGGTATATTTTTCACTACCAGAATGATATATATATACATATATATACATATATAAAACAATAAATAAAAACATAATTAAATTTATATGTTTTTAATGGCCCAAGAGACCTTGTAAGAGGAACTTAATTGTGAAATGTATTAGCATGATGCAAAATATAGAATACTTTTTCCAGAATGTCTTGTCTACAGCTACCTTTTGGAAATGACTAATATTTTTCTAAGTTGGCTCAAATTCAACTATAGATCTAGATCTAATAAGGAAGGACCCATTACATGAGCGATTAGTAGATAGCTTGGCAAGATAAAACATTTATGACTGGACAATCTATTTGCCCACATCAAGTCAAGAGTAAAGACTTTATAAATGGAATTGTTTGAAATGGTAGTTTACATATAATGAAGAAATGATATTGTCTTTTTAAAAATGAAAATATGATTACATCACTTTCCCTCTTCCTTTTCCCAAGGCAGAGGTCAAAGGATCATGAGGAACACAGCTCCAACAGATACACCACAGAAGATGGGCAGAGAGGCTGTAGGGGCCAGAGGACTGGGAAGTCTGCTTTCTCGCCTAGAAATGACTTCCTCAACAGAGAAGACCTGAAAAGTAAGAATTTCAACAGACAGGCTTATGTAGAAGGTAGAAACTGGTCAGAATAGAATACAGTTCCGCTGTGAAAAAAGCCATCTCTACCTTCTTCTCACTTCACGTCTTGCAGCTTTGTATTGTCCTATTTTCTAAACTTGACTTTTCTCTTCCTTCATTGTCTTGAGGACAGGGGTTATCTTCAATTAATTATACTTGGAAGATATTTTTCAGACACATAATATATCATCATCTCCTTAAAGCTATTTTTTTCTTTAGCTTCACTAAATTTTAGATCAGAGAAACATCCCCAAATAGTCAAACTCAGGCTATAAATACTCACTCAGTGCAGTCCACAGAGGGAATTATAAAGGCAGACAGAGGCTAGCTCAGTTCCAGGGTGCCCTTTTCGAAGGGGTCTCTCTTTTGTACCAGCAATGAGGAATTTATAGAATGGTACTGATGTTAGCTGTTAGCAGTTTCACATCTTATAAACAGAGTTCAATAGCAGTAAGGGATGTGGATGGAGGGGATTAAGGATATAGTGACTATGATACTGTGCTAGATCAGCAAGAAGAGCCTAAACTAAGTAAGAGAAGAAAACAAGAAACCCCAGGTTAACAGAATGAGCAGCAGTCATCCTCAATGACAAGGGTTTAAGATGACAGGAGAGCGAAGGTAGCACAGACAGCTGCATGGAGAGGGTAGCCTCGAGGAACTTACAGGAATTTCACAACATTTCAAATAGTCACAGAGGCTCATGGGCATTTGAAATACATCTTAAGAGAGGCATAGAGCAGGAATTTGAATTTATGGGTCCAGTATATACAAAAGAAGTCTGATTTGAAGATACCCATGTGGAAGTCATCCCATGCGATGAATTCCCCCACTGAAAGAGTGTGAAGTGAAGAGATAGCCAAGGACAGAGCTTTGGATCAACATTTAAAGCATGACATGAGGAAAAGAAGTACTAAAATGAAAGTGCAAGAAAAAAAATCAGAGAAAAGGCGAAGAGCCAGGAGAAAATTATGTTAGGGAGGCTGGGGAAAGAGAAGATGGCTAACAGTGTCAACAGCTGCAGAGAAAGTAAAAAGAATGTTCTCCTGGAGTTAGTCATTGCATGCACATGGTGGAGGGAGAGGTCAAACTGCAGTGACTGAGTGAGGGGCAGGACACACACTCATGGGATGTGAATGTGAACACAGCAGGGAAGGTCAGGGGCATGAGGCAGAAGGTAGAAGCTATACTTCACAGACTACGGCCATAGAAGGGTAGATAAAATTTATCAGAAGATTAGTTGAAAAGATGTACCATAGCTGAGAAAATAAACACATTATTCAAAAGCGTATCTAGAGATGCAGGGGTAAATTGGGATGAAAATATTTATTACAGATTGATGTGGATGGCATGGTTACCTAGACTTTGGGTTGAAGCCCGCAGGACCAGAGTGAAATGTGAGAGGATAAAATGAATGCATAACGGGCTGTATTTTCTCAGAGCAGTACAGGGCGGGGCTACCTGCTGAGCAAACGCTGAATGAGGCAAGGTCAAAGAGATGACCAAAGTTGAGGAATCTGGAAGGAGTTCCCTGTACTGTCAAATGCTGGAGTTGTCAGCAGGTACAAAAGTACTTAAGTGATAACCTAGTCGTGGGCCCGAGTCTGGTTAGAGGCCAGCTGAGTGTGGAGGGAAGAGACATGCAATGGTAAGGATGTAGGGAGAAGATGCCATTTAAGGAGGAGGATGCAGTAAAGGCTTGTAAAGAAAGACAGCTTCAAAGGGAGTGACAGCCCAGGATGAAGGACTTCACGAGTCACACATAGAAGACCAAAGCTTATCCCCACTTTTTCTGTATGCCTTTGAGCCCTTTGCATAGGTCCCTATTTGTCCAGAAATGAGAGGGTGCCTCACGCAGCACGCCCCCGCCATCACGGTTGGCCAGCTCCATAGCTGATTCCTGATAGAGGGTTTTCCGTGGTAAGTCTTCCCTGTTACTCTACCTAACATATCTCTTGTCATTGTCTCTCTCTGATTTTGTTTCTTCGTAGGACTTAGCTCTACCTTCAACCATTTCACATTTACTTTTTTCTTTTCTTTTTTGTCTTCTCTGTGCCCCTAGGAGAGGGTAGCTGAAAGTTATTGAGAAGCAGTGCTTATCACATGTAGGAGAAATGGAACCAAACAGAGTTAGGAGCCAGTGTAGACGTTATCATTAGATTTGTAATATTTTTGACAACTTACTTAGCCTCTGTTTCCCAGTTTGTAGAGTGGGATATTACAGTGTGTGAGGATTCTGTGAGCTAATGCATATGAAGTACTATGATTCATTGCCAACAAGGGCTCAGAAAAGGCAAGGTGCCTCTGTGAAAACAGCAGCAAGGTGCTGTAGAAAATGCCTACAAACATCTCAAAACTGTTACGAAAGGCCTATCAGTTGAAATAGTTACCTACTTGCAACTTTATCCTCAACATCCGAAAAAAATAATACAGGAACTAACAATAGTGGAATGGTTAACTATTGCCATTTTCTTAAAATTCAGACCAAAGGAAACACAGTACTTAGCTGGGTGTTTCTGTCAGGACATCTCCTCTTGTACTGAGCCTACAGATTTCTGGGCCTGGCAGGAGTAAGGTTACTTGACTGTATGGGGTGTTATGGCAGATGTTTATGGTCTCAGAGGGGGTGTGATCTGTGTGAGCTTTTAATTCCACAGCAAGAGCCCAAATTAGTTTCATTATTCTGGAGAGCATAAGTGGGTGAAAATTAGTCCATGAGCTCAATGGGGGAATGAGAGTATGAATTTGCTATTAGATAACCTCTAATGACATTTCAGTATACAACTAAAAGAGACGATATTCTGAATAATTTATATCAGAGCATAAAATTACAACCTTAAAAATCTATATTTATATTTTCTCCAATAACATAACCTTTTATAAACCAAATTAACATACCTTAAAATTGCTAAGTGTTTAAAAATTGAGGCAGAACACACCTTCTCTGCAGGTTATCAGAATGTAAAGAGAGCTTTTTTAGGGAGGATATGCATGGCTTGTCCTTCCTTCAAGATGGGGCACCAGGCACCATCCCTCTCCTCCACACCACACTGCCTCTGCACTGGCCAGGTCACCACATTTGACATGCTAGCCTAGATTCCTTTTCTTTTGCTTCTCTGATCCTCATGCATGCTACTCTCTTATTTTTATTTTATTTTCCTTCCCAACACATAGACTTGTTCTTGGGCTTATGTAATCAGTTGCTGGGATAAAATAAATCCAAGGCACCTCAGAAGTGAGGACAACCAAGAGCTAAAAAGACTTAGCTGCATTTATGCTTGGCTTGTGCCACTTGGAATCTGGCTGCTGGCCCAACAGAGAGGTTCTCCAAATGATGGTAACAGAATGTACTTCTGTAATGGAGTTAAGGCATCTCAACAGAGTGTGCTCTGGAAAGGTGAAGGGATCATATCAAAGTTCTTCCATCTCTGTGCATAGCCCAGTGCCCGGGTCACTAGACACATTCAATTAAAAAAAAAGAAATCCAATAGAAAAACATTGTCTTGGAAATAGAATTAAGTTAAAACCGAACTATTGAGATAATATGGGATACTAAAAAATATGTGGGCTTTTTCGATGGCCCTACAATCATGAGCAGTCATAAATATATAGAAATAGTCCAACCAAACACTTCAACATTGGAATAGCATCCAAATCACTGCTTTATTCTTTTTTTCCAAGTGTCATCTATAAGTTTGAAGCTAGCCTAGGCTACCTAGCAAGATCTTGCTTCAAGAAAAAAGAAAATAAACAAGGTATAATGTCATACAACTTCATTACAGAACTTGGGAGGCAGAGGCAGGTGGATCTCTGTGCTGTGGAACAATCCTTTCCTACACTATGAATATGTCTTACTCTCCCTGGTTTATAAAAAGCTGACAGTCCAGTAACTGAGTAGGAAGTTAGGCAGGAAAGCCAAACTGAGGATAATGGGAAGAAGGAGAGCAGAGTCAGGAGAGATGCCAGGAAGCACCACCGAGCACGCAGGACATGTGAAAGTGAGGTAACATACCATGAGCCATGTGGCAAAGCATAAACAGAAATATACGTTAATTTAAGTGTAAGAGTTACCTAGTATGAAGCCTGAGCTATTGGACGAGCATTTGTAAGTAATATTCAGCCTCTGATTCAGTTATTTGGGACCAGGCAGTTGGGACAGGAAACATTCAATTACATCTCTGAGTTTGAGGCCAGCCTGGTCTACATAGTGAGTTCCAGGACAGCCAGGACTACACAGAGAAACCCTATCTTGAAAACAAAACAAAACAAAATAAAGAAAATGAACAAATAAATAAGTAAATATAATAAAAAACATGTTTTCTCTGGGGCCATATGATGTTTAAATGTCAATGTGTAAGTGTCAAAGTAAGACACTTGAGTGGAAGAAGGTAGTTTAGTTTCCTCCATTGCTCAGGCCATGAGCTTGCAATTCTCAAATGAAAAACAGCACCATGATATTAAAAAAGGACGACTTTAATTAGAAAACAACTAGCAAAATGCACAGTCCACAGTAGGGACAGGATGGAAAAAGGGGATGAGTAGAGTTGTCAGGCCATGCTTAGAGGAAAGGAAAGTGGATCTTCATGTCCGTTTGTGAAGAGCATGCAGCCACGGGCAGGCTGGGCAGAGGACATCTGGTGTGGAGAGAGGCAGGATGAAATGCCACGTACAGCAGAGCCGACCAGCGAAGGTTCAGCATGCAGCCCTCACCAACGCCCAGCCATTTCCCATGCTCCAGGTTATTAGGACCACATACAAAGCTGTTGTATTTTTCTATTTTTTCAAAGATATTTCCCAAGTAATATTTAGATGGAAGTATACAAACCCATCCATTTTATAAACAAAATTGCTAGGATAAGAAACTTTTTGGGAATCATTTTGGATTTTAAAGCACTTTTTTTTCAAATTTAAAATATTTTTACTTCTAGTCAATACTTTTTCCACCGAAGACAAATTCTTGCTAACATAAAACCTGAAATACTCTCTTTTTAGCCTAAGGCATGAACCATCATACCAGGCTAACCTAGATTCATTTTAGCAGCTTAACTTAGATATGTAATGCAAATGTCACAACATCTACATGTTTAATGTATGCAATAAAAGTTTCTATTATATTCAAGAGTGGTTTAACCTTCATATCCATCAGCTCCCTACTTCCTGCTCTCCTTCACCACTACTGATGACTGTTTCTACAGATTTGCCTATGCTTGATGTTTCTAATGAATGGAATGACTGTTCTTTTAAACTCAGCATAATGCTTTTGTGGTTCATTTTTGCTGTGGCATGGTTCAAAACGGCATTTCATTTATACTGTAGGATAGTATCTTCCATATGTTGATGCCGAGTCTTGTTCATGAGAGTGGGGCTTGTTTCTACTTTGTGCTACTGAGAGAAGTGCTGCTATGCCAATTCCCATAAAATTCATATGTATATTTTTTATTTATTATGTGGACATGCATTTTCCTTGCTGGGTCATAAGATCACATGCTTAAAATTTCACTTAAGCATATGCTGTATTCAACATTTTAAAGAATTGCCTGTTTTTCAAATTATGTCATTTATTCTTGAGATATAAAAGAGTTTTAATTGAAAATATGTCATTCCCTCGGGATTATGAAATAGTTAGAAAAACCATAGGCTAAGTTCATAATCTCAAGGATCTAAAATTATCATGGCTTCTAAGCAGAGCTATGGATATACAACATTGGCATACTCTGAAATTTGATGACTCAAAAGCCATAGGTGCCATCTCAAATGAACTCTAACATGAATCTACATCCTTCCCTGTTCCCTATGATGCTAAGCTTTGACTGTCACGTCAACATTTATACTGAAATACCGCTGTTCTTTGTTACTAAATGTTGGGCCTACCAACTTACAGCGACTTCCCACAATTAGGAGTTTTGCTACGACAGATCAAAACATTTTGAATAAGCAGTGTTTAATTCTAATAGTCAGAATTTATCAATCTTTCCTAGAACTGATTTAGAGTAGCTTAATAGCTCACTGTTGTGTTCCTTACACATAATCACAGGGCCATGGAGGGAACAGTGTTTTGTTTTAACAGAAATTCATGAAGACAAGTTGAGGAAAGAACAAACATTTTTAACATTTTTCTTATGTCTCATTCTTCCTGAACAGATTTTAAAATCATGTATCTTTGCCCTGGGATGCAGCGGTCCTACACTAGGCTCAGAATGAACACACTTTCAGCTTATCTGTCAGAACCCCATCTTACAAGGCATGTCATGCCAAGGCACAATGGCAGGTACAGTTCACAAAAATTCAGTACATTCAGCATCATATTGTTACTTTTTCTTGCCCAAGTCCTCAAAGCATGCAGCTTAATTTTGATCATGAGTTAGAGATAAAGGTTTTTGGAATGCTAATAATATGACAGCTTCAGATCTCAGTGTGTAAAGCAGCTTGAAAGCCAATAGGGTTTTACAAAACATACATATCTCCCTAGTTGGTGAAGAACGCTGCCTTATAGACTTTCTTTGTCACAAAAATCAAAATATATTTCAAAGATTTGATTTATATTCCAGGAAAACAACGAAAACTGAATCAACATGAATCGATAAAATTTGTGAAAATTTTGGCACTGAGAACTTCCAAAAACATGAAAATGTATTTAGACTTTTACTCATGCATGTAAGCGACATAGGCCTATGTTTTATATTAAGAAAATCTAGAGGCAGTGTTTGGAACAAAATGTTCCACAATCCTGGTTGAAATTAGCAATTTAAATTTGTTGAGTGAGGTTACAAATGCACAAATCACAGAGATTTGAGAACTTGCATAGCTGTTAAAAATGTATCGAAAGGCCATAGGTTAAAAGTAATGAATGTATGTTTCATCATTATTATTATTATTAAAATATACAATCTGTGATCATAATTTATTTGTTTTACAAATGCATTTGGAGGTTAAAATTTTTCAATTCATCTGTGACAACCATGAAATTCAATATTGCTCACCATGACCAATCCATGAAATCTGTCAACTTTGTTCCTGGTTTTCACAAGGCCTTTTTCTGAGATGAACTGACCCATTTGAACTGAGAGCACAGCAATTTTTTCATCTATGGCAAATCAGTTTATTTTACTCGGATTTATTAGGGGCTTCAAGTTTAAGCTTTTTATGTTTTAAGCCATTTATATATAATCTCAACCTTATGTTGGTTTTACTCACTGCTCCTTCTCCTCTCTGAAAGAGTTCTTTGCTTCTAAAACAAGTTCTCAGCCTGTTTTGCAAGAAGGAAGAACCTGTTGGCAATGGTTATGCTTTGAGTGGTCAGAGTGGGGAACTGAAAAGAAAGTTGTTAATTATTCTTAGGCCAGTGACCACACAAAAACATTCTGAGAATGTTTTCAGAAAGAAAATGTGTACACCACTCTAACCAGAATGTACGAATAGGAGCCTTCTGCCTAATTTAACCCAAGTAATAAAAATATTATGTGACCCTTTTTACTGTTCAATAAAGCAAGAATACATAATTCTTTGAATATAAAAACAAACATTTTGGAGGGAAATTTAAAAATGATGCTAAAGTTTGTTCTTAAGAACAATTCCAAGTTTTAAAATATTACCTATTAGAATCAAGCTAAATTGAAATTAAAAGTAGGTTAAATTTTTATATTTTACTTTTATTTATAAGAAAAGTGTTTTATTTTTTCAGTATAATTACCTATCTGCTTCGACTTGCCATTACTAGTTAAGACATTAAAACCTAATGTTAAGATCTATGCTAGACTTATTGAAAATATGTGAGACCATTGGATCTCTTTCAGATTTGAGCACATGTAGGAATTTTTAATTTTATCTTTTTAAAATTAGAACCAATTATATCACATAAAAAGTGTAAATTACTGGGGCTCAAGAGACAACTCAATGCTTAAAAGAGAATACTGCTCCTGGAGAGGACACAAGTTCAAGTCCCAGAACTGACATCGGGCAGCTTGCAGCCTCCAGTTCCAGAGGATCTGACAACTTCTGGACTCACAGGCACCAGCACCCACCTGTGCGTGCACATGCTGCCCCCACCCATACAGACAATTAAAATTAATTTTTAAACAGCTGAAAACTATTAATAGACAGACAGAAAGACAGATAGAAATAGATAGATAGATTCCACTCAAAAAGTGAAAGCTAATGCCTGGCATAATTGTACAAACTCAATCCCAGCACTCAGGGGAGGAGACAGAAGGATTTCATCTTTGACGTCAGTAAAGGCCAGATATTAAGACTGTTTCAAAAAACAAAATCAAAAAGGTGAAGCTTATTAACTGAAAGGGACTAACCAACAGACATGGAACATGTTTGGAGTGATTATAGCTTTGAGGACTGATTCATGTTCGATTTATAAACTATCCCAATTTATGATATTAAAAATGTACTTCAGAGTACTTCTACTTGGTATTAAATACAGAGTTCAATAACAGGTGTGACAACAACTGGGTTAAACAAAACATTTGATACTTACTTATATAATTCTGTTAGTGGTGCTGTCAAAATGGCTAATGTTGTCAAGAGGTGGTTGCAATGAGTATGAATTTTAAAAATTTTATTGTTGTTACACTCATGAGGATTCAAAATTTCCTGTACAGATGTACAAACTGACCATAATATGTTCTCAGTGCATATTAAGATTGCCGTGACATCGAGTCTATTGGAAAGAGAGAGACGAAAAGTCATGTTAAATAACATAGTGCTCTTGCCTGTTGTATACACTCTAATCTGTGTGTCCTAAGCATATGTAAAACGAGAAAGGTATGGTTAGATATCAGAGATATCTACATAGACACACCCAAGCCAGAGAGTGTCAAAACATCTTGTGGACACTCGGGAATTGGGTAGCCCATCACATCATTACTTTTCGTGATTCCAAGAGCTGCAATGCTGTTGTGGCAAGCCTTTGGGTTTTGTTTGTTTTAATTTTGTAGTTTTACTTTTTTTTTTTTTTGAGAACTTCATCCAGCAATGCTGCCTGTAAATCATTCCTGCTCCAACTTCTCCTGTGCTCCCTCCCAAATCATGACCTCTTCTTTAATTATTTTTATTACACATAAGAATACTCCATGAAAAAGTATTTGCTTTGCATTATCAGAATTCTCTTCCAGAAGCAAAATAGGAGCTGGTTGAAAAGAACAATGATCTGTCACACACACACACACACACACACACACACACACACACACACACACACACATTGTAAGTAAGTATTTGATGGCAGAACATGTCTCCATGTCATCCACACGTAAACCATCAGAAAGAAGGTCAGGTAACATACTCTCCTAGGAAGGGGGAGATGAGAGGCCATCACAACCAGAGCACAAGCTGAGATGCCTATAGACTCAGAAATTTCTAATATTATATTTATTTGTGAAAGAAGACTATATTATCTTATTCATCAACATTTTCATTTCTATTGCTCATGTGGTATTTCTTTAAAATTTTAAGTGCATTTTTATTGTAATCAACACACACTAATTCCACATATTTCTTATCAACCCATGAATACAATGTGTAAAAGGTATATATACTAGTAATATATAACACATGCATAAATCACATATATGGATTTGGCCATGTGTTATATGAAAACTACTAGGTTATTACCAATGGTAATTATCAATAATTGTTGCAGGAGAATTGTCCATACTGCCATTCCACTATGCCGATAAAGCAACCTTGAATCTAGGACGGAGTCAGCGATTGACTGACTGGGATTAGCCATGGAGTTCTTGGAGGACTTTACAGGGCGGCTGCAGAGGACGGGAACAGACTCAGGAGGAGTTGGAGGTGGTGTCTGGTGCAGGAGGTTCTGGAGAATGTGAAAAGAGGGTCGGGCATTCCCTCCACTTTTCTTGCATTCTTCAGGTCTTTATCTCAATTTCTGACTCCCGAGTTTTAATTACACCAGAACGAATTAGGTAACATTTCATCTGACAGCTACAAATAATCACTGGCCATTATCAATAATCACTGGTAATTATCAATAACCACCTTTAGGAAGATTTAAGTTTTGTTTTATTTACTTCTAATTGTTAATAGTTTCTGATCCAAGATACACACACACACACACACACACACACACACACACACACACACACTTTGGTTTCTGTAATAATGATGGTTTATTTACCTCTCATATACAAGTATTTACATATTTTACAGTGAAAGTTTAAAAGGAATAATTCTAGATTTGCATAACACTTTTGTGCAATCATCCAGAACAAAAAAGCCAGTCTCTAGTACATCATTAATTAATTAAATAAATATAACTTATTTCATGAGCTAACAATAAATCTGATAATACAAATATCTCATAATTATGAGCCACATAACAACCAAAAGTGACTTCTGCTTCATAAAAAAGAGAGTAAACTATTCTTTACTCTGAAAAGGAATTTTACATCTACACTTCAGAGTTCTACTTTTTAAAAATAGCTTGATCAGTGATTCAAAACAGCCTGTGCAAAAAGCACATTTGTGGAACACTGTAGCAGGACCTAAGGACCCTTTGAGTCACAGTGCGCTTTACAAGAATATGGTTAGGAAATGATTCCTCCTGCCAAAAACAAAGGCAGAAGGAAGTCTCTAATGCATGTGGGTTCTTTCTAAAATATATCTGAAAACATTATTTCATACCTGAATCCAGGTTTTAATCACATTATGTCAATTATCTAAAAGAAAAATAATAAAGTCTTTTCCCACGTAGCTCAATGTTACTATTAAGCTAATTTGCATAATACTGCTGAAATACTAGAATCACACTCTAATTCAGTCTTTTATTCAAAACCTAGTGATTTTTGCTTCTCATTTTTCATGAACTGGCTTTCAGTAATAAATACAGGGGCAAAAGGAAAATAAAAGGAAAGTCAAGACAATAAATTAGACTGTTTATTACTATTGTTGTTGTTTTTTGTTTTTTTTCAAGACAGAGTTTCTCTGTGTATCCCTAGCTGTCCTGAAACTGTGTAGACCAGGCTGGCCTCAAACTCAGAGATCTGCCTGACTCTGCTTCCTGAGTGCTGGGATTAAAGATGCCTGCCACCACACTGGGCTAGCATATGTTTAAAACAAAGTAGTTTTCTTAATGAAAATAGCTACTTCGTTTGAAAAGTGTAGAAACTAAATAAATAAAAGGCTGAAATCCTTCGGTTGTTTAGTAGGACCAAGTCAAGTTCGCTGCTCCGTCACAGCGTGGTTGCTGTTTTCTCTGCTACGGGACAGAGCCTTATTGTGCTCTTATCTTATTGTGTACATTTGACCTAGAGTCACACGTGGGAACATTTTCTGCAGGCAAAGGGGGTTCTAACGCTTGTAAGAGGAAAGAGCAGGGAAGTCAATCGGATCCATGGCCCACTTTTCTACACAATGCCTCAGGAGAAGCGGCACCCTCTCCTCTTGGATGTTAGAAACTCGCTAAACACACAGACTTTGCCTCGAGCTTCGGAAGAGCATTCTGCTTTACAAACTGATCTCTAAAGAAGTCTCCTTGAAGAGCAGCTTTCGTTACCTTATCTGTGCAACTCTCTTAGGACTGGGACACGCCCGGGCATATCTGGAGGCTAGTAGACCCAAGGACTTCTCCAGCACCTCTGCTAGGATCTCCTGGGCCAGCTTAGCCGGTAGTATGGTCCAGAGATCATGACGCAGAGCCCAGCTGAAGTAATGCCACATCTGGATGGAGAAGGAGCATCTTTCCCCCTGGCAAAATCATCACACATTAAACAACAGATCACATTTTCCAAAATGTCCATTTGCTTCCTAGGAACCTAATTAGTTCAGGCTGAGAGGAAATCGTTGGAGAGCCTGCTAGATGACCAAGAAAGAATTTTGACAGGATGTTAAACATCCTATTGACAAAGGAACATATGTTTTATTTCAATTACGAATGAAATATTCCAGTGTAACTCCAGACCACAAGCATAACCTAGCATATTCTTGATCCACCTGGTCTTGGCTTGCCTTTTGAATTTTTCTTTTAAGCATCAGCTTTGTAGTTACTTAACAAGTCCTGCTGATTCTCCAAAATTAAAATCTGTTTAAATTGTTGATGGAGGCACATTTCTCTGAGACTATTAGCATGATTGAGTTAATTTTATAAATCTTTCAGATTCTGTATTATTATGGAACAAGAGGACGGAAAACAAACACATTTGCTAAATCTTAGGCACATTCATGAAGCCAAGTGGGATGCTTAACTATTGAAGAGTACATTATGCTTTTTCATTAATGGTGTTTTAACAATAGTTTATGTTAGCAACAGATAAACAGTAATCAAACTTTACACCATTTTGTAAAGGTGCGTATTATCATCATTTTACATACTTCCAAAGGGTCAAACTTCCATTTCCCCCATTCCTCCACAGACCCCTCCATGTGCTAACTTTTGTCTAACTTCAGAAGGAAATTCAGCAGTGACTGGGCCAAAGGGAGCAGGAGGTAAGGAGAGGGCAGCCTGCCTCAAGTGATTTTGCAAGCAAGTGTTAATCAGGCAACATGCTGGGGGCAGGGAGTATTTGGCATCATTTCTCCAAACCAGATCAAAAGATTATCTGAAATAGGAAGAAAAGAATGCATGCATGCTTCAAATTTTATTTGGTTATATAAATATATCAAAACATAAGCCATTAAAATTTCCTATTTTATCCCTAGACATTTCTCTTTTGCAATCTGCTGTGTCCACTAGCATAGTTTCAAATAAGTGTTATCTAAGAAGTATCTGCTCTTGTCAAGGGCGATGAGTCCCCTGTCCTCCAGCAGCCAGGCTGAGCTACATAGCAAGTTCCAGGCCACTCTGGAAATCCTGTCCCATAAAACAAGCAAAGACAGCCTGCTCTCCTCCTAACCCAAGTTACCACCTTCTCACACAGATATTTTCTTAACATGGCATTCTTTTGACAGTTACATTGATTATTAAAATACTATAGTCATTAAGATAATAGTGATTGATTTTCAAATGATAATACAAAAATGAGTGGTACTATTATTCTCTCTGCAGAAATCTTGGACTAAAAGTATCAGAGTTAAGTTTAAACAGAAAGGGATGTAGACTAGGTGTTTTTTTGACTTCCCAATTAGATACGCTAAATTACTTAATGGAAAAATGTATAAAATTAAAAACAAAGCAAAATTAATGTTCCATTTGCTTTGTGGTATGTTCTAAAAACTCTTGTCAAATTAAGAGAGGAGTCTCTAAGCTGGATTCACTGAGAGCTTCAGATGTAAATGAAAAGGACTCTTGAATGCAGCTGATGCTGGAACTGGTGGTGGGGGATGTGGCCTAATAACTGTGTGATCAACAAGACTTCCCATAATTTTCAAAATACAGAACACCAGTGTCTTTTATGGCTATCTTTTAGCACAGAGATTTTTTTTTCTGCTCAAAATGTTCTATGTGCATTTTAAAGACTATAAATTGTTCCGTGCATTTGGGGAGTTCGGACAAAATGGCCTTTGTTCTAGTAATTCTTTCTAAACGAATACAACTTCAGTGTGCGTGTCGGTGTGGGGGGTTCATTAAACTAAATACGACTCGAGTTTTGTGACCTGTTCCCCTGCTTGCTGTCATTTCAAAAGTATTCTGTAGTAAACATCTGTTATTTTTATAAACCCACTATAATGTAAACAGATGTGAGCTTTTGCTTAGATTATACATCAGGAAACAAGCAGCTGGCCTTTATTATGGAAGCCACTCAGTATTATCTCTGTACAGATAATTCTTTACTTTTGGACTATTGGAAAACACAATTTTCTAAAATTGAGCAGATGTCAACTATACAAAAAGCTTAATTTTAAACATGCAATCTCAATACCCATTGTACTATCTGACCAACGCTTCAATGCAGAAGGCCCCAGCTCTTCGCCTCAAGCAGCATGACATGTTTAGGACATAGGAATGTATGCCTGTAGTTCACTTGCCATCATAAAACGCGAGCACACACTGCTCCCTGGCTTGTAACGTCTTTGACTGTTTTTCTCTACTTCACTGTGCACATGGCCACAGGTCCCTCTGAGATCGCTCTTCAACCCTTCATTTCCCGTCAGCCAGGCATCATCTCTCTCCTCTTAAAAGAAGCTTTCTAAAATGTAGTCTCTTCTACAGATCACTGACATGACGTGGGAGGGAGAGGAGGAGAAAGGGATTCAATAAGTGAGACACAACTGTGTCAGGTACACCACTCATCAAAACAGTTCAAAATCCTGGCTATTTTCCAAACCATCTTATTTTCAGTAAATAGGAAAGTAGTATCGTTTTTTTCCTATGCATGAATAAGAACTGTTAACTCTGCAATTAAATTGTAACTACTGACCATGTAAGTATATGGAAGCTCAAGTACTGTGTAATCACAGAGTAACAGTTTCTTTATTTCTGTCTTTGAAGCTAAAGCCTTGCCATAAGATCTAAGAGACGTGTGCTACATGGTAATTGGTTTTGTTTTGGTAAATACTCAGTGGCTCCAGTAACAGGTTCTCAGTGCACACACTTCTTTAAACTGTACTGCTCTTCTGGTCCCTGACTGGCAAAAGAGGAAACACATATCCTGACTACATACTGAGATGATACCTGTTCCTCACTCTAAACACCTTAAAAGGTTGTTTATTAGTAGCTGGGCATATTGAAATAGTGTGAAACATGATGGTTCCACTTTCTGTCACTCTGTTTACCTTAAGGCAAGTTGAGCCTGTGATGCTGCCAGAAGAGGGATGACCAGTACTTTCATTCTTATCGCCCGCCACCAGCCATACCTGCCACTTTCTCCCTCTCTGCTCCCTGCTACCACTAATATTTGAAATACAGCGGGTTTGAAAATTATGTATCGATGCTTTTGCAAAGAGAAAAATCTATCTGGGGAGGGCTCTAAAGAGATGAAACAGCCTGAGGAAGCAGGAAAGTCGCTAAGAGATTCTTATTAGTGGGTTATTAGTGGCCAATGTTTTTACAACATCTATGCTATCTCAGGCACAAGAACAGTAGTGCCTAGGGATGGCAGGAGTGACTGCTGAATAAAAGTGCACTCTCTTTTCTAAATACTCCATAGTGGTTAGAAAGTCAAGGAAAATGAAAATCATAAGCTGTGATCCAGAAGAAAGGGTATGATGGAACAGCTAATGAAGATGAGTCTGATCATTGAAACTTTTAAACCTCAAAAATATATTTTTTTAAATATATATAAATACTTTCCCCTAGCATGGAAGTAATTTCAAATATTATATGATCTATATACACTCTGTGGGACTGATGGGGGAAAAAACTAATGAAGCCCGGTCATGAATAATTTTAACTGATTCTTAATTTGGTTATGCTGGGGAATTATTTGGGCTTTAATTTGGTAGGTATTTGGGATTTCAAAACATGAGCTAAATGAAAATAGTGAAGCATAAAGTGTTCTTAAAATGTGAGTCTTAAAATGTACTCTTAAGAATGAGAAGTAAAAAATAAGCATAAAAGTAAAGCTACTTAATAACAAGTATTTATTAAACAAGATGGAAATACACAATAAGAAAAGACATAAGGACACCTATAACTGGAAGCTTTGGAAAAAACACAAAGGATTGAGCTTAGTTCTTGTTATCTCTGAGTTGTCATTGAATCTCATTATATCCCAATTCACACAGTGCTGCAATCCTGCAACGCAAATCAAGTTATTTTTACTTTTAAGCAGAAGGAGAGTTCTGATGTCTAATTTATTTCAGGTTTCCAAAGACAGTGTTTTTCCTAAATACAAATTCAATATTTAAAAAATATTATCCTAACAGCCTTCATGTTTTAGTAATATGGAGCTCATGTTTCTAATTAGCCAGAAAGCAGGTAGGCAGTAAAACATATTTGTGTAAAAAGGACGAATAGTAAACTTAACTTCACACCTCATAAAAAGCTTTGTAGTCATCCCAGTGGTGGCTCTCAGCATCCTGTAAAATGCTTGTAGCACAAAGTCTGACGCAGTAGTCCGTAACCTGAAACTGTAGAGTGTTGATGAATTCCTGATATCGCTGGACAGGCACCAGGAATATGGGTCTGTTCAGAGGGAATGATCAAAGAGACAGAGATTTAAGGCCTGTGCGGTAGGAGGCAACAACCTCCAGCACTACAAATGGTTTTCATTATTAGATATCAATCATTCATTTCCTCCAAAGCTGAAGGCTGTATCCACATTCACTTTCCAAAAAGAAAAGTGGGTGGGGGGAGTGTGCCTTTGTTTTTCAAGTCCTTTGAAAACGTACATCTGCTGTTCTACAAATATGCACTTCAACTCGAGACAAACTGTATTGTCAATACATCATTCAAAACTAAAAGTATTCTTTGTAAGCCTGTTATTAGAGATCAGTGCATTATTTAGGCATTAGGTTATCATTATTACTGAAGAGCAACATGCACTTCTCAGAATCAACTTTTCTAAAGCTATCACACATCCCATAAACACTCCTTTTATTTTTTAAAAGTTGTAATTTTGTAGATGTCAATTATCTCATAAACTGCTTTAAAATAGTCTACTGAAATGAAGTGATTTCTGGCATATTTTGTTTATAAATTCAAGTATGAATCACAACATCTGACTACTTATGAGAATTAAAGAAATAACATAACTGTATCCTACATTGAGCCAAATTTATTTCGCTTTTATCTTCAGCTATTTATATCACACTTCCTTGATTCGTAGCTAGGAGACCATGCAGGCTGAATAAAGAGCAGAGAAGGGGTTCTTGGGCTGCACTGGACTGGCGAGTCCACATGCTCCTTCCAAGGAGCCGTGATAAGTTCTACAAAATTCAAACATAACCAGAAAGACCACTTGATAGCACCCATGGCAACTTTTACCTCCATACCGAAAACATATTGTATTTTTAGACTACTAATGCATGAGAATTAAGATTGGCAGATGCTTCCTCTTCAAATATTATGGATCGTTTATCACTAAATAGATGTCCTGCAATATGTTTACACTAGGCACAAAGATAGATTAAAATGCATTTATTCACTACGGCAGTTCTAACAGCCTGTTGGATTAGAAGCAGAATTGAGAAGTGAATATTTCACAAATGTTTATATGTGGGACAGAAACAAGTTTAACTTTCCTTTTCTATGTGGTCAGCTTAATGTGCCTCATGAAAGGGATGCAGTAAAGTCCTTATCATAACAACATGCAGAACATGGCTGCCTTCCTTTGTGCATGTCTTTAGCAGAGGTTGCCTTTGTTATCATCTACACATCTAGTTTAATGTAACCCATATTTGACCTTTTAAACATTTCCTAATCAAGAAAGATGAAAATAATCCATTATATTAATTATTATTTTCTCCTCAATGATTTACGTTAGCATTGTAATTCTCTGAAATCTGAAGAGCGCCTGTGTCCTTGAGCATGAACATCAACTTAATTTAAAAGACACTCACTTCCTAGTTGCCTCTCTCATCAGACTATCATACTGCGTAAAACGCTGGGAGACGTGGGCCGCCGTGGAGAGGAGAATGTACAGGTTCTTCAGGGGTGCTCTGGAAGGAACCTCCTTGCCCCTCTCCTGCAGTCTCTCCAGGACAGCTGTTGCTACTTTACAGCAGGCCTCCACAAGGTTCCCTCTAATTTCCTGAAGAGAATCATCTCTGCATGCCAGAGCCAGTGGAAGCATTGTGTCAAGCTTTTCCATGATGTCAGAACAAAACTAGGGAGAAATAAATGTGGCGCTGAGTTATTTGTATTCTGACAGCACCATGTAATTTATGTGCAGTGGAGCCAAATTCCTAAATAATGAACTTGGCATCAAGCATAAATATAATGACGCAGCTTTGTAACAATCAATTTCTCAGTTGTAGAAAGTTAAATGTTTCATGTCAAATAAGGAAATACCAAAATGATGTCTTTCTATATATAACCTTCAAACCTTATGCTCACCAGACAGACATGAAAAACTCAGAGCCAGCTTTACATGACAGTACCTTTATGTGTATTCAACAGAACTCAAAATATATGTATCCTTGATATTAATTTCACATTACTTTTGAACTTTCCCTAATTGACTTCTACTAAATTTCCATATATAAACATATTTGACTAGATAATACACAGAATATCAGTTTGGCTTAAATAATCTACAAGCAACAGAAACTACTCCATGAAGGACCAGCCTTAATAATATATTTCCCAGGGGCTCAGAAGAGAAACTACGAACAGTGAGATTTATTTTCAGGAAATGAATCTAAGTTCGTCTATTTTATTCCTCTGGGATAAAATCCTGTCTACACAGCTACAGTTCTGTACTCAAGCCTAGTTCCTTTCTGGCTTGATTTGTCTCTACCTTTATCTGCTGTCCCCTCTAAGTTCTATCTTAATTCTCTCATCTTAGTTCTGCCTCATCTAGGTCCTTCTCACCTCATTCTTATCCATCTAGTACTTTCCCATCTACCTCTTCCTCATCCTCCATCCTGACCTCCAGTTCTCTAGTCAAAAATCCTCTCTAGCCAAAATCCTCAATATCTTCTCTTTGTTCTCCTTATACCTCAGTTCCCCCCTCCCCCAGTCTCTGATGTGTTCAGTTATAAACCCAAACCATAGTGATCTTCTGGCAGGGCAAGGTCACCAGGCTTGAATTCTTGCAGGGTCATAAAAGCAGGTAAGAATTTTCCTCAGGCAGTGGCTGGCAGGCTTTCTTTAACAACCCAAATGAGTGATAATGATTGGTTAGTCAAGAAGGGAATTTATTGTGCTCAATCTACATTCCTAGAAGTGGTTAGGTAAGAAATTAGGAGTCTATTAGTAAGTCTGTAAGGAAGGAGGGTCTCACTCTAAACTGCGCAAGAAATAAAGCTATCTGGGAGGATAGGATGAACACCTAGGAGACAGATGTTGTTTCATTTGGCCTTGGATGCTTGATAGGTATTTTAGATAAATACACTGTTACAAATTCTTGGAAGCATGCATAGTATTACAAGAAAATCATTGTAGGAACCAGCTAATATATATACAAAAGCTAAAATATCACCAAGACTTCTTAAGCCATGGCTTGACCTTTGGAGAAATCCTTGACTTTTCCAAGTAGTAGTTTTTGTGATAGTAGCTAAATTCCATTATGTTTTCCTGTGGCTTGCAGCACTCTTATGGGTAAGGAGCCAGGATCTTTCAGAAGTGTGTCTGTTTCCACTATTTACTATGTATCTGGTCTCGTTAATGGTAGAGGGGCTGTAGGCATAGCCTGCTCTATACATGATCAGCCAAGAGAGCTCCCCCAGGAGAGCTCTGGAGCCTCGGAGTGGCAGAAGGAGAAAGAGTAAGGACTTATAAAAACACCCATCACTGGCTGCTGATCCACAGCGAGGTGAATGCAGAGTATCTGTAATGACTTACTTCATATTTCCTGGGCAGGTTCTGTTGACTTTCAACACAGATGGGATATTCATTTAGGTGAAAAGATTTTATACGTTCACAGAAAAATAAGATGGTATCCCCTTTAACCTGCTAAAGAATGACTTCTATGTCATTCCAGCTCTGTCAACACTGAGACGCTCTGTGGGCTACCTCAGAATAAAGGGGTGAATGTCAGCAAAAAGACACACGTCCTTTTTGGTAGTTCTGGGCTATAGACACCAGAGAAGAAAACTAGTATGTCTAGTTTTCTAGGGTACCAGGCCCGTTCCAGGGCACTCCATCAGTTGACCTAAGGGCTCCTTTTACAATCCTTACATCTGCAAAGAGTAAGGATAAGGAAAATCGATGCCACAGCTGCCAGCAGCATAGGAAGCGATCTCCTCTGGTACTTGCCTTGGCCACTTTCTTTGGTTGTTCCTCCTCAGGAAATATGTGACCTTCTCGCCAAACTTTTGGGACAGTTACAAGGTTTATAGCATAGCTCACAGCTGAGGATCTTTCTGTTTGCTCTTGTTGGAGGACTTTTGTGGAAAATCCTTCAATGGCTGCTGATATGGAGTGTGCCATGACAAAAGAGATTTCTTTAAATGCATTTCTCCAGCCAAATTCTGGTAAATTAGCCTGAAATATATATATATGCTTATAAAATCATATTCATATTAATTTTAACTTAGGAACAAATATTTTGACATAAAATTATTACTTTCATTCAACATATTGAATGCAGGCATCCTTTGATACAGTCTGAAAGCCATTCTGACAACCTGAAGAATATTACCTTGTAAATGAAGCAATACACACAAACAAGTACATTCTTTACACACCACAATATACTGACATTTCACTTTAATTCCTCCGTGGATTTAATCAAAAACCCTTTTCAAAATTTAATCTTTTAAGTATAGTTCAATAAAACCATCTTTAACGAGAGCTGAAAGCTACAGTTACAGCCTATACATAAAACAACCTTTAAATTCAATACATTTAATAAAGTCTAAATTAGATTTTTATAGTCTTTTTACAGTTTATTGTTAACAAGAATTGCAACATAAGTTAGCATTTAATATTCAATCTTTGATTTCTCCTTTAATCTCAGGATTCCAGACAAGCTAAAAAAGGAAAACAGCAATAAAATAAATTTCTCAGAGAAAACACACATTGAACCTTTCTGGTTTTAACTTGCTTAAAATTTTATTTTGCCTCTCCTTCCAAAAAAGGGGTAGGAACATTGTTTTGTTGCAAGAAATGGGGAAGTAAAGTGGCCTGCATTGCTTTGTATGCGGGAGGAGCATCACTGAGATCATAACCATTCTGTTTTTCTTTAGTGGCTTCACAGTATATTTTTATTATATAGTCTATACTCATATGCAGCTTCTTCAGATAGCTTTGCTTTCTTTTATTTATTTCACATTTTAACTTTTCTTATCCTATATATTGTGATCATATTCTTCCTCCCTCTATCTTCTCAGACCTTCCACCTCTTCCCACCCAACTTCATACGGTTTCTTTCTCTTACAACAAAATGAAAATTGAATGTTATAACCTTGAAGTCCCAATTTACTTTCATTACTGTGATAAAACACCATGACCACATGCAACTTAGGGAGGGGGGGTTATTTGGCTCACACATGCCAATCACAGCTGATCATTGAGGGGGATCTGAGCAAGAACCTGGAGACAAACATAAGCAGAGAGCATGAAGGAGTGTTGCTCACTGACTTGCTCTCTGGCTGGCTCAGCTTAGTTTTTAATACAGCCTATGACCAAAGGTGGCGCTGCCCACAATGGCATGCCTTCTCCCACATCAATCATCGATCAAGAAAATGCCTCACAGACTCACATAGAGGCTAATCTGATGGAAGCAATTCTTCAGCTAAGTTCCCTCTTCTATGACAAAAACTAATTGACACACTTGGTTTATTTATTTATTTTTTTATTTTAGTCTTGGTCTCATACGGAAATATATCTGTAAATGTAGATGTCCCTCAAGTTTCCTGATGTTCTTTAAAGTACTAAAACCATGAGAAGTAAGTAGACTAAATCTATGCTTAGAAATAGAGCTGTTTTAGCAGTTCCTGTTTGTATTAACATGTCACCTACTCCAAATACAGAAGACTATAGGCTTAGGGCTAGAGAAATGACTCGGCAATTGGAGTGCTTGCTGCTCTTGCAGAGGATGGAGTTCAGTTCCCAGCACCCATATCTGGTGGCCCACAACCTCCTTTAATTAGTCCCAGAGACCCAGTGCCTTGCTTCCTGGCCTTCGCCAGCACCTGCACACAGGTGCACATAACACTCTCCTAACCATATATACACTTTATTAGTAAATCTAATAAAATATTTTAAAAAGTAGGTCCTGAGTCGATAAATCACTGATTGATCTTTTGCTTTTCTTGATATCAGAGTTTTTAGTTAGAAGACTGAGTTGAACTGGGCGGTTTCTATGTCCCTGTCAGTCAAAGACTTCTGCAATCAGGACCTGTGAGAAGGCTCAGTGAGGTAAGACATGTGCAAATGAACTTGCTATGCAAACTCGGTGGCCTCACTTTGAGCCCTAATCCCCCGGTAGAAGGAAAAAACAGATTCCTGAACGTCGTCCTCTCATCTTCACTGGTGTGTCCTGGCACATGTGCATTTTCACTTGCACTCGCACGCACACGCACACGCGCACACACACACACACAAATCATAATAAACCTATGAATTACCAAGATTAAAATCATTAGCCTAATGTTTTGTATGTTTATCCAATCCAACATCATTTTAACACATTTTATACAGATATAGAAAACAATAGATGGTTTATATACAACTCATGAGTCTACAACTCTGTAGTCAAAATAACCACCCCTGTTTTACTATAGTTAAATGCAACTGAACTTTCCTGTCTAAAATTTATTTGATCCTTTAGCAACATAGAGCTGAAACAAGTCTGTCAATTGTATTTGGGTACAATTAACCAATAACTAAATCTCTTTACTTATAAGTGAAGGTCAGAGGACAACTTTCAGGAATACGTTTTCCCTTCCACCTGGGATGTGGGCATCAAATATAGGTCATTAGAGGTAGAAAAATTACAGCCTGTGGCATAACAGTAACTCTTTGGAACATGTTAATGATAAAAATGTTAAAGGAAACTACCTCCATAAAAATGAAAAGCAATAAACAAAAGCCCTGGTTTGTTTGCTTGCTTATATCTCTATTGGAGCACAAATATTCATTAAAATCTTCCAATCATGCAAAGAACATATTTGGTAGAAATTGTGACTGATTGCTGTGGCTGGAGTCACTGTTCCTATGCCTGTCTATGCTTTTTTCTCTGCCTGCATAGGGATGATCTTTTCCTGTGGTAATTGATATGTGACTGTAATATGCTGGCCATATGAATTCCCCTCCAAGTATGAGAAACAAAGACATAAATCACTACTCATACAAAGAAAACTGCAAACCTCTACACACTGACACCATCTTCTAAAAGTCTATGTTTTCATGAAAGATTGCTTATTCTCTTCCCATCTGATATTTGGCATCACACACATTCCAGTTAAAATAAAGAACATTTGTTAGTTAATCCAAGAAAACAAGAAAGAACGAAGTGGCTTTCTTTTCAGTACACAACAGTTCAGAATTACTGAACTTTATTTTTTATTACATAATGCTAGATTCACGCTGAGCTTGATTTTCTTCTTGTTGTTATTGTTGTTGTTGAAGTACTATATATACTTTAGAGTATTCCTGACCATATCCCTTGCTTTCTAGACTGGGAACTGTTATAAATTATACAGACTTTGGTCTTTTAAAATATTTATGCAGCATATTACTCAGGATTAATTGAGAAAGCAGAAACTATGTAAGGAATTCAAAAGGAAGAGTTTAATGTAGAGAACTAATTTCTGTTATGGCTTGAATGCGCAATGTCTCTCTACAGCAGTGGTTCTCAACCTGTGTGTCACAACCCCTTTGGGGGTTCAATATCAGATATTTTGCATATCAGATTTACATTATGATTCATAACATTAGAAGAGTTTTAGGCAAGAAGTAACAATGAAATAATTTTATGGTTGGGGGTCACCACAACACAAGGAACTGTGTTAAAGGGCCACAACATCAGAGAGTTGAGAACCACTGTTTTAACAAACTCAGGCTTGCACACTCACTCCCACGAGGTGGTCTTTTCTGGGCAGGCTGTTGAAATGTTAGAAGGTAGGGCATAGCAAGAGGATGTAGCTCACTAAGGAATGTCCTTGGATTGTATTGATTTGGGGTGCTTCCTGTCCCACTATCTGCTTCCTGTTTGTCATAACGATGTGAACAGGCTCCTGCTGATGTGGACTGAGCTGCTTCTGCTATCATACTTCTCCCACACCCATTCTGGAATGAAATCTGAACCCATAAACAAATACATTCTTCTTTCCTTAAGTTCCTTGTGTTGGGTATTTTGTTGAGTGAAGCACAGGTAACTAACAGTGACCCAGGTGACGGGAGAAAGGCAAAGCCAAGCCAACTGTGAAGCACAACACAGCAGCAAATCATAATCACACCCAAGACAGAAAAAGCAAAGCAAAGTCGCTGTGCTTTGAGAGACCGAGGCTGTCAACAGAGGCTAAATCAAGGCACAGCTGCCCAGTGGGACTCCAATCACACGCAGAATGTTTTGTGGCCAGGAGTCACAGCATTGCCATGGGATCGCAGAGCTGGGGGATTTTAATTTTTTTCTCTGCAACTTCTGCACTCCAATATTTCATCAATACCTTTAATTATACAGACATTCCCACAATGCAGAAAGCATGAGAGCCTGGTAGACACGATTCGCTACAATACAGAAGAGAGTAGAAGCATAGCAATGAATCCTGAACAAGTAGACAAAGAGATTCATTCAACCCTTCATGCCTTTCCTTTGAAAATCAGCATTTTATCACTTTTCAATTGTTATCTATAGTTCACATTCTCAAAATACAGATCCTGAGCCAAGATGGGAACAAAAATTTCATACCATTCTCATGAACCTGATTGTGCAAGAGAACAATGACCCAACTTTATTTTTGTTAAAAACATTTTTAACTTGTTAGCTTATATTACTTGTATAAATTAATGGGTCTTGTTATGACATCTTCACGTACTTATCCAAAGTATTTTGATCAGATTCATTGTTATTCTCGTTTCCTATTTTCTTTTACCCCTCACCTCTAGCTAGTCCCCCGTTACTCCTGTCAGACCCCCTTCTTCTTAAAGTCTTGTCTAATCTAGAATCCATGCTTTGAGCGAAACATCCATTTGTCTTTCTGAGACTTGCTTGTTCACTTAATGTGATAATCTCTAGTTCCATACACAAACAGAGTAAACTGAGTAAACAAACACAGACCAGGTCAAACTGTCATGCCCCTTCAGCCTATCGTCTTTATTTTCATTTCAACAGCCTTGTGTCCACAATGCATCATGTCACTTTGTTCTTTATGAATGAATAAATCTGCTATGTGTATTCTACATTTTTCATCCATTCATTTTACTGTCTGATTGCTGTCTGATGCTATAACTTGGCGATTGCCAGTGGAGGCATAACGAAATGAGTAAGTAGCTGTCCCTACCGTGTGGTGACTTAGACTCCTCCTTGTATACAGCAGGAGTGGCACAGGAAGGTCTCATGGTAGGTGTAGCTGTGCACTCCACACTGATCTCCATTGTGGCTGGCCTAATTTACATTCCCACCAACAGTGTATAAGGATTAGTTCCCAACACCCTTGTCAGCATCTGCTGTTTAGTTACTTGATGGTAAGACTTCTGGATTTTTGCCTACAGCTTCTGAGGAAATTTCAGTAAAGATTATTTGGGAGCAAAGGGAAAACTCAGATATTTTGATTCACAATAGACTCATGGAAATGTAAACTTGTTATATGTGAATAAAAAGCCTCACCTCTTTGACTGGTAATAATGGCTCTGGAGGAATGTTGGTTTCATTTGATGAATGTTTCTCTACCATGGCTTCCCTATCAGATTTTTCCAATATTCCTAAGCAAAGAGAAGGAAACAAATACAAAAGCATTAATTTAAAAAGAACAAACTGGGGTTGGAGGGATGGTTAAGTCACTAAGAGAACTTATTGCTCTTCTAGAGGATCCAGGACTGTTCCAGTACTTCAGGAAGTTCAACGTTAACTGTAACTCCAGTTCCAGGGAATCGGATGCCTGTTTCTGTCCTTTGCAGGCAATGAATGCACGTGATGCATACACATGTACTCTGGCACACACACACACACACACACACACACACACACACACACATTAACAAATAAATCTTTTTTCAAAAGAACCAACTATTCTAGATGTGATTAACATACTAATTACATAGAAGAGCAATACACAGTAGATACATACACATAAACATACACATATGTGGATACATAGGGAATATACTCGGTAAGATACAGGCTCGGGGCAGTATTACAATTATACAGGCATATACAAGATAGAGACTCCTTGTAAGTACACAACTTGATGAAATCTGTATGATTGCAATTATATTCATATTTGGCATACATGCATGTGTAATCTGCAGAATGAAGATCCTTTCTCTACACTCACGTTGACAATACAGGACGACATAAGAGTAGAAAATAAACATTAACTTCTTTGTTAATTTCAAAAGTTAACTTCTGTCTGGCCTGGTGGAACAGGCTGGAAACACTTCATGAGTCTGAAGTCACAGAAGTAACAGTTTAGAGTACTACAATTAAAACTGGCGGGGTTACATGAAATACTAACATTTTCTCACAAAAAGGGCTGGGGAAACAACTCAATTGATAAAGAGCTTGCTGCACAAGAATGGGGACCTCACTTTGATCCCAAGCACCCACGTACAACCAGGGGCTCTTGACTATGATCTCAGCACTGAGGACCCCAGGGGGGTTCTGGCCAACTGGTGTAGTCCAACTGTAAGGTGCCAGATTTGATAATCTGGTGGTTCTGCAAAATGGCTGAGCAAGTGAAGGTGCCTGCCTGGTGACCTAAGTTTGATTCCCATGACCTAAATCATAGACATAAAGAACTCCTGAAAGTCGTCTCTGATTTCCATATGCGTGCTGTGGCATGAACACATCCACACATACCGGCACACACAGAGATACACAAACACAAATGCAAAATTTTAAAAAGTTGGAGAGAAATTGAGAAAGACTCCCAATGCTGACTTGTAACCTCTACTTGCACGTAAAAACATGCACATGTATCTGCACACATGAGCATACACACAAACACATAACACACACACACACCACCACCACCACCACCACCACCACCACCACCACCACCACCACCACCATCATCATCATCAAAGAACAAAATGCCTAGAAAGACAACAGTAGATCAGGATGCTTTTAGTAATTATTAACAATGGTTAATTTGAAAAACAAAAACCTGGGACAGACATGGAGAGACATAATCACTAACTCTTAAAATGGAATTATTTTTGCAATGTTAAGTTTTATAATGAAGGAGCTCTTTTCGTGGTGGGAGAGAAGACCTTCAAAATGTAGAAAATAAATACAAGAAGAAAACTTAACACTTTTCCATCAAGATTTTATTAAATGAATAATTTAGCCTTTACCTTTTTGTGGCTTGGAATTAGTATGGGATGGTAAATTACGTACTATAATCCCATTTTTCTTTTCTTTTACTAGCCTTCAAGGAATTTTAAGAACTAGATTCTCTGTATTCTCTAACCACATTGGTGATTTTCTCAGTAGTGACTAACCAATAAATTCATTTAGCAGATGGGTGTTGTTTTCCTTTTGAATGTGGTTCTATGAATTTAAGTGTGAATATGTTCTAAGGAATAGAATGTCCAGAAAGAAATAACACTTGTGTTTTCTGAATGCCTGCTTAGGTAGTAACACCTCTGCTTCTGTTTGGGTAAGTGTCCCTCAAATGATCTGCAGGGTAAAGCCTTGGTCTCTACCTTCTGGAGCTATTAAGAAGTGGTGAATCAGCCAACAGATGGGTTGTAGTGGAAGAAAGTTAGGGTCACAGAGGTCTGCCCTTGAAGGACATATTGGATCTCTGCAAGAGCAGCAAGTACTCTTAACCACTGAGACGTGTCTCCAGCCTCTAGTTCTCCTATGTTTAACATCTTATGGTGATGTTGTATATTTGTGCAACTGATAAACTGATACTAAAACATTATTATGTATGTTTAGAGTTCCCCCTAGGATTTACCGATGTGTTAAATAATTCTATGGACACTGTCAAGTCCATGAGTTCATGTCTCTACCACAATGTGTCATATGGAACAGCTCCACTGCTCTAAAACCACCTGTACAACCTGTGCAGCGTTCCTTTCACCTTCCCTGGCAAGGTGGATAATTTCAGTGTTCCTGTGGTTTTGTCTTTTGCTAATACCACATAGTTGGAATCATACAGTATATAATCTTTGTATATTACCTTCTTCCACTTAACAATATGCATTCTTGGTTCCTCCATATCATTTCATGGCTTGAGAATCTTATTTTTATTGATGAATAATATTCCATTATATTGATATACCACAGATTGTTTATTGACTCACCTACTGAGGAACATCTTAGTTGCTTCCAAATTCTAGTAATTATGAATAAAGCTGCTATAAACATTCATAGGCAGGTTTTTGCATGGACATAAGTTTTCAGCTCATTTGGATAAACACCTGGAAGTGCAATTACTCGATCATATGGTAAGACTATGTTTAGCTTTGTAACACAGTGCCAAATGACTAGCAAAGATGCTCTATCATTTTACATTCCTAGCAGCAATGAGCAGAGTTACTTTTGTGCTACATACTTGCCAGAAAGTAGTATTTTTAGCATTCTTTGGATTTTTGCCATTCTAATAGGTATACAATAATACCTCATTTTAGTTTGCATTCCCATGGTGACGTACTATTTTTTGCATCTTTTTTTTTTCATATGCTTAGTCACCATCTGTCATCTTTGGTGAGATGTCTGCTCAGATATTTTATGTATTTTAAAACCAGGTTGCTTGTTGTCTTGTTGAATTTTAAAGGTTCTTTGTATATTTGGATATGAATCCATTATCACACATGTTTTTTGCAACTCTTATTTTTAGTTTGTGTCTTTTCATCTTCTTTGTGAACATGACTATTTATTTAACAATTCTACATAAGAAACTTACCTTTCAGATAGAGTAGAGTAAATATAAGACACAGCCCAAGAAAGTTTGCCAGAGTCCAAGAAAATTTGCCATACCATCATGCTAACAAATGAAGTAGAGCATGGTAAATGGTCATCAATGAATACCTAATTAAATTATGTATAACAATGGAAAACTCTTCATCATGTATAGCAAATATTATTATGATTAGCATATAGACTTCATCAAGTTGTATATTCATAGGAGCTCTATATCTTGTATATGCCTGCATCATTTTAATATTGGCAACAATCAACATCTTACTGCATATATTCCCTGTGTAGTTATATATTTCTATGTTTATGTATGTACATCTACTCTGTGTGCAGCTTTTCTACACCATTATCTTAACCTGCTTGAACCTGAACATGTTAATCACATCTAGAATGGTTGTCACTTTTTTTTCTCAAGATTTATTCTTTTGATGTGCACGTGTGTTTTATAGCATATGTATTTACACCATATACATGCACAGCCTGCCAAAGTCAGAAGAGGTCATTGGATTCTCTGGAACTAGAGTTATAAGCAGTTGTGAGCTGCTCAAGGTGGGTACTGGGAACTGAACCTAGGTCTTCTGGAAGAGCAGCAAGTGCTCTTAATGACTGAGTAATTTCTCTAGTCCCAGTTGGTTCTTTTAGAATTAATGACTTTGAATTTGCTTCCTTCTCTTTGATCGGGAAGTGTTTCTGCATTTTCCTAATTACTAATGAACAGACCCCTTGTATAGAATGACAACCATTTATTGTTTTAATATAGGAGCATGTGTGGAGGTCGTTGTTTCCAGAAAGTAGACAAGTAGAAAAAAGATGCAATTTCATCCTGACTATATGTCCCTTTGTTTTGTTCAAAGGCTTTATGGTATGCATATAGTACTATTCAAAACCAATTTATCTGAATACTCTATAGAAGCTCATAAAGCTAGCTAGTTTTAAGAGGTATTTACCTTTAAAGCATAGTCTTTTCAGATCTATCTCTGGAAGTAACTATCTGACATTGTAGAGCTAGAGTTTAAGTCTTAGGGAAGAAGTTGACTACCTTCTATTTAACATTTCACTCCCAAATACATTCATTATATTTATTCAATAAACAAAGTGCCCAGATGGTAGAAACCACCTGCTAACCTTCAAGATGAGTAAGACAAAGACAATATTTCTAAGCCTTTTCTTGCTGGCTCATGAATCCAGAATGAGTAACTTACAAGTACTTATATTAATTTTTTAAATATAATACTCCCAAATTAAAAGACTTTTAAGAAGCTTAATTTTAAGTGTAAAAGTAAAACTGGTCATTTTTAGGCAGGATTAGTAACACTGGCTACACACTAATATCTCATGGATACAACATTGCTGCATTTTTATATTTATTTGTAATTCAATTGGTCAATTTCAAAACTTGACAAAATAAAATTCTATGAGTTCTTTGAACAATTGGGGAATTACTGTACATACTTAAAATATATTAAAAACTCTGTACATACTTTATTGTCTACTTTTGGCACAGCATTTGAAAACAGTTATTTGCATGAAATCTACAGTGGCCTCTCTAAGCACAGCCTGGCTTCAGAACCTCAGAAGAGCACAGAGGGTCACACGAGTGCCAGCCGCTCACCAGCTTCCCCTACAGAGTTCTCTGTGGTTAGTTTACACTTCTGGCTCCTTTGCACGCTGCCGCTTTGCTCTCTTTCACAGGGACTGGAGGTTGGCAGTACTTCCCTGTGACATCCACTTTCACACCCAAATTGGTCTTCATAGGTTCCCATTGTGTGCACTTCAAAGCAACTTGCCTTGTTGGCAGCTCTGAGTGGGAAGTGCAAGTCTTTCTTTTCTTCACTGCTCTTTTCTGGCTCACAAGCAACCTCCCACCAAAAGCTGAATCTGTAGAAGAGACTACATCCAAGAGATAATACCATAACAAAGTGTGAAGAGAAGCCCAGGTGGCCACCTTGCAAATTTCCAATGTGGAAGCCTTCGACCTCTCTGCCCAAGAAACAGCTAAAGTCCTAGAGTAATGAGCTTTAGAAGCCCTAGGAGCCTCTTTACCTTAACTACATACGCCTCCCTAATACAATCCCTTAACCATCTAGCTAAGGAACTCTTAGAAGCCATTTGACCCCTCTTAAGACCCCCTAAGAGTACAAACAATCTTTTAGAAGATCTGAAATCTTTGATTCTTCTGAGACAAACCCTAAGTGTTCTTCTTACATCCAATTGAAGCAGCCATTGCGCTTTGTCCTTGCTGGTGCTAAAGGGAAGCGCGGGCCAAGAAGCCTCCTGGTTTAGATAAATCTCAGATGCCACCTTTGGAAAAACTGAGGAACTGCCCGAGAACTACTTTATTCTGAAGAAGCATCAGAAATGGCCCCCCAAAATCAAACCTAAAGCAAGCCCGTAAAAATACAACCACACAAAAGAAATGCAGTATGGCATCAATTCAGTCAATCACTTTCTAAATGGTGAAGTCAGAAAACCATCAAATCTGACCAAACAAAAACAAACAGGGAGAACTACTAAATTTTCTTTCTCAAAGATTTCTCTTGTCTCTACAAATTCTCTTGTTCACATTCTGATTACTAAGAGAACTGCCAATTTGGATGAGTCTATAATATAATAGTAAACATTAAAGTAGAAAGTCAAATGTTTGGTTAATTATCTTTATATTTGCTGTATTGATGTTAAGCACGTGGATATTTTTAAAACATCTGGACAATGGGGAAAACCTTTACTTTCTTTGGATTGTTTAGATCATATAATCACATAAGGTCACTGTTTTCAAGCTAACAAAATACGCGCCAATGAAAACAAAGACCCAGGAAGCCACCTGGTCTGCTCTCTTTCCCTTCATTCTCTCCCAAAAAGAGTTTCTAGAAAAACACGCACAGCTAGGTTCCTTTGCTTTCTATAATCATTCAGCTCAGGGTATCTTTTCCTCCTAATTTGAGAAGCCAAAGCTTTTGATAAGAACTGATTAACACTGACACATTCAAAGAAACAGATGATTATTTCCCCCAACAATTTCCTTCAAGATCATTCTTTACAGTCATTTATATAGAGTTGTGTAGGATCAATGCAATCTTGGTTTTCTTACACAAAACAAAACCAAGACCAAAACCCAAACCCATGAATTTCAACACCAAAGAATGCATATATCGCAAAGACCTGTGGGATGGCTCCAGGGTGGGGGTGCTTGCTACCAAGTCTGACAAACCTGAGTTCAATCCCTGGAATCGACATGGTGGAAAGAATCAGTTCTTACAATTTGATTTCCTATTTCCACATGCCCCCCCCCCCCACGGCCACGCACACATTTTATTTTTTGTTTATTGTTTAACAACATTTCTAGATCATCAGTATGAAGTGAAATTAGAGTAAGTTAGAGAAATTTTAATATGATTTTAATCAGCAAATCTGCATTAACAGTATTCTGACAGCAGACATTATTTTTAGTGTTAGGGAATTATTAAAAATATTGTTGCAGTACAATAAATATTTTGAAAAATTAAAGAATACACCTGTCAAAAAGAGACATTCTACTACTGAGGTATTTCTTATACCTGTCGCTCAAAAATTACTTGTAAATATTGAATTTGATAACCCACAAATATGGATTAGCAGCTGTGGTGGTATTCTAATTGTACTGAAATGTGATTTTGATTGTATGTTAATAAATAAAGTTGCCCGGGGGTCAGAGCTATTAGAGCCATAGATAGAGTGTGGCGGTGGTGGTGGCACACGCCTTTAATCCCATAGATTTCTGTGTGTTCAGGGATTCAGCCAGCATTGGAGACATATGCCTTTAAGACCTGGGGGGCTGTATATACAGACAGTGACGAGGCAGTCACGTGTTTGGGTTTACAACCAATGAGAAGGCAGAATGACTATGAAATGACTTACACACAGGGAAATAGCTCTCTTTCAGGAAGCTAGGACCACCGCAGGAGGAAGGGTGAGATTTTAGCTCTGAGCTCTGATCTCTTGGATTTCTCTTTTACATTGGTTCTGTGTTTCTTATTTAATAAGACGGTTGGTTACATCTACAAGCAGTAACTGTATATTGTGAGGTGATTACAGATTTTTTTTTTTTGCAACAATCATAATGCCTGCTCTTGAGTGTACAGAGTACAGAAGCCTCACCAAGGCTAAATCCTAATCTAATGCAGTAGAATAAGCTTTTCATTTTTTTTTCTAAAATCAACAGCTAAAATCTTCTCTTCAATTCTTGTCTATTTCAGTTTCATATCCTTACCATATTCCTCGAACAATGTTAGTTATGTTTCACTTAAGAACAAAGCTCTCTCTCATAATTGATACATATTGTCAAGGGCTGTACTATGTAGATGTATCCAACCATCTTATTAAATAAGAAACAAAGAACCAATGTAAAAGAGAAAGCCAAGAGATCAGAGCTCAGAGCTAAAATCTCATCCTTCCTCCTGCGGTGGTTCCAGTTTCCCGAAAGAGAGCTATTTTCCTGTGTGTAAGTCATTTCATAGTCATTCTGCCTTCTCATTGGTTGTAAACCCAAACACGTGACTGCCTCGTCACTGTCTGTATGTACAGCTCCCCAGGTCTTAAAGGCATATGTCTCCAATGCTGGTTGTATCCCTGAACACACAGAGATCTATGGGATTAAAGGCGTGTGCCACCACCACCGCCACACTCTGTCTATGGCTCTAATGGCTCTGACCGCTGGGCAACTTTATTTATTAACATACAATCAAAATCACATTTCAGTACAATTAGAATACCACCACAGTACTGGGATGAAAATAAGATGGTGGGGAGAGACCTTGATGTTCTGGAATTCACTCTATGTCTTTACTTCTGAAAAGAACTGAATATAGGAAAGTGAGGAAGCATTATCTTGGCTGGTCATGATGGATGGGTGCCAGTAGCTAATATCAATTCTTTGGGGCCTTAGCATATCACCAATAATTTGAAAGTCTTAGTGCTCAAAAATTTCTGAGCTAAATCAACTCCATTTAGATAACCAATTAATGCTCTTATTACCTCCTAATTAATTCTCCATTTCCTATTTGTCTTTTGCATAAAGCATTTTCTGTCTTCCATGATTGCTAGCATCAGAAATCTGTACTCCTCCCTTATATTTTTAATGAGCTGAAATTTGGTAAAGTGATGGTTATAGGTTTGGTGTATTGGAGTATGTCCCACAAGAGTTCTTACGTTAGAGTTTAGCTTCCCAGATGGTAGTGAAAGGAGAATGCACTGGGTGGGCACTGGCAACACCATCCTTGGGAGGGTCCTCACCCGAGTCAGCATACATTTTGGACTTTCTCCAAAAGCAGGAGGTAAATAAACCCTATTCCTTTCTAAATTAACCAGGCTCAGAAAGTTCGCTACAGTAATAGAAAATGAACAAATGCAATGATCTGTATTACGTACTTTATAACAGTGCTACCTAAAGCGAACCTGAAAGACAGAAAGCCGTTTAACTATGCTAAACATAAAACAAACTTCAACCCCCAGTTACTGTCTTTTCTAATATGTAAGTCAAAGTAAATAAAGAAATGCAAAACTATATAGGGAGAGGCTAAAGATTTATTTTTCTTAGATACGGGGTTTGTATGTCAAAAATGTGGATAGTTAATCCCTGCTTCCCTCAGTTTGTTTGGAGGATGAGCCACTTCTTTAGCATGCCACATGGTAGTATGTGAAAGAGAACGTCATACATCATTGCGGATAAAATGAAAACCCTGAAAAATACACACAAGACAGCTAAGAGTGGATCTTGGCCATTGCCTTTGACTTCTGCTCTTATGGTCCGAAACATTTCAACCTGCATGGTAAAATGTTCTATAACTTAGAATAACAGTATAAAATTACAATGAGTATTTATAATAACTCACATTTGTTGACTGGTGATTATATCTTTTAAATATCTTATGTAGGACCTAGTGTGCTAGGTCATTTAATTTTCACAACTCCATTTTAGATAGTGGAATATGAAGTATCTGGCCCTGCAAGGAGAGAACTAGTGTATTCCTCCAGGACTGCTGGAAGGGTGAGAGAGCTCGGCTGCTGAGCTAGGAACACTGCTGGAGGAGGTCACAGGGGAGGTCACGGGGGAGGTCACGGGGCTGCTTGCAGCCAGAGCACAGGTGCTCCACCACCGGTCTGTTTGTCTTTCAACAGGCCAGCCTGTGGTTCTTTCAGCAGGCCAGCCTGTGGTTCTTTCAGCAGGCCAGCCTGTGGTTCTTTCAACAGGCTAGCCTGTGGATCTTCGGGAAAAAAAAAAAAAAGATACAATTTTAGCTAAGGGCAATAATCCAAAACAAATTCAGGATTATTTTCCCCCATTAGAATTAAAGACTCCCAAGGTGTAACAATAAAAAAAAACCCACACTGTGTGTCATGCTGAATATTAATCTACATAACTTCACCATGTACTTCATTCAAATAATGGTACAGATTAAAAGTGGCAGGGAACAATCAGAGAAAAAAATGTCTATGCATGGTTAACTAAAGAGTACAGTACCTGGAGAATTCCTGGGCATCTTAAGCAATAAAAACATTTCTTCAAACAGATCCTGAATGTTGTTTTCCAGCTTCAAAAAGGATTCTGTTAGCTGCGCTAAGAATTTGAGTTCATCTAAGGATAGAGAAGAGTGTCTTCGCTTCTGTGGGCAGGCAGGGCTCACTGTGAAGAAAAGATAGACACTTTCACATTTTATTGATTTCTTTGGAAAATTTCAGAACAATTTATTTGATCTTATATACCATAAAATTGACAAGAGTTTCATAATTTAGAGAAGCTTGTTCATTACAAAACACATATAAAAATCTCATAGGAGAATCATTTCTTCCAAAAAGCTAGAGATAAATATCATCTTTGATGCAATTATGACAAATAATTAGCTTGACTTAGAGTTATAAACAGGAATGTGATTTGTTATAAAATTGACATCTTATAAAACTGTAACTTTTAAAGTCTAGCATAATTTGACTCTGATTATGAGGAACCATCAGACAAACTCAAATTAAGGGACAGTCTACAAAATAGATTGTCAGTACCTTTCAAAAATATTTGTGCCAGAAAACCAAGCCTCAGAAATATTAGAGTGTAGAAAAGTCCAAAAGACATAGGAACCGAGGTCATTATTTGATCAACATTTTACTTTACTATAAGGAACATCATACTAACAATATCTACAATCCAATGCTCTTCTCACATGCTTCTTAATTTCTTGGCTTAAATATTGAACTGTAGTTATAAAAAAAGATACTTTTGGTTTGAGATAATATATTCTGCAGAATATAAGAATAAATGTCTACCATGTAGTCTTAATTAAAATAGTTTTAAGGAAAGAATTAGAAAGAGGGAAGGGAGAGAAACAGAAAGATAAGTGAGGAGCCATAAAATGCAGAGTTGTAGTAAAATAACAATACTTGTGCATCTGAGGACCCTGGATAGCAAGAAAACCAGGACATTTCCCTGGTATTCAGACAGCTTTCTTTATAAATCTGAGATTTAAAATATAAAAGAAAAACACGTAAAGATCAGATGTAACTCCTCAAACTATTCTGTATGTTATTTTTATATCATTAAAAGAAACAAATCAATGTGGCAAATGGGTAAGAACTATATAAAAACTACATAATCTATGAAGTTATGTTTAAAATTAATTTTTCTATGAATGACTGTGGTATATATTTTATATATACAAATAACAACTTAAAGTTTGATTTTTTTTCATAATTATACTACTAGTCAAATCACACTTCCATTTAATTACAATAGAAAACAGGATACATTTAGGAGTAGAAAGAATAGTTTCCTTACTAGGCATCTTTAATTTCAATTTGTTGCTTTTCTATTAGAAATGTATCACCAGATGGTATTTCTAACTATATGTTCAAGGATTTAAAGAATCTTTCTTCTATTAATTCCATTTATAGAAACATATTTAAAAGGATTAATTGTAATTAGAAAATTCATAATCTCACTGTAATAAGCATCTGGTGATGTTAGCAGAAAAACATAAGGGGTGATAATCAGAAACTGAAGAGAGCTGATCGTGGAACACAGATTGCTCTCATCACATGGGTTTAGAAGGATGGTTTCGGGAACATGGTCTTTTACAGATAATCCATTTCACTTCAGTTAAAAAGCTAAGACACTGACATCAAACTTAAACCTACAAAACATAGACTTTCAGCGAGGACCAGCCAAAACTATCATTGTATCTTTGCAGGTAATCTGAGAAATCTATCTACAAATTACAACTGTGGAACTGAGTCCTATTCCTAAAATGCAAAAATATCTGTAACTTCCTACAAAAATTCTATATTCATCCCCACATTAAACATCATCCTACATTTGAAAAAGTCTCTAAATCGCTTATCTTCTACCTGTGATTGTTTTAGAAAGATGCACAAATACATAAAGTGTACAAGCAGCATACACAACAAAACATTTCTTAAAAAAAATTATGTTCCAAAAAAGGAAAAGAAAAGATGAATATAGCATGTCCATTATAGTTGTTGACCAGTTCCCTATCAGGCTGTTTGATGTGTGTATGTGTGTATATTTATGCATTTATGTCTACATGGAAACTAGAGATCAACCTTGGACATCCTAGGGGAGCTGTTTTCCTTGTTTGGTAATAGAAACAGTCCTCTCACAGAGGCCTGGGCTCCTAGTTTAAACTTGGCTGTTCAGCTATCTTAGACATCACCAGAACTTTCTTTTAAGCTTTACTTATGCAAATAAGGGGCTAGTGACCTTTTAAAGTCCCAAGTTCTTTTTGGAACTCACATATTTTAAAAACAACTTCCATATTCTTTAAGAATCATTTCTAATGTTTCATTAGGCAAAGCTACTCAATAGTGTGATTTGGAATTAAACATAGTTAGAAGCCTTTATCTGGTTCAAGTCCAAGTTTAAGATATTACAAACGTTTGTAGACTAAGCAAAGAAGCACCTGAAGAAACATCTTTGAGAGCTGAAACACTAGAACCTGAGTGCCACTTGTCTAAAATCTGTAGGGCTTGTGGCTTCTCCATGAAGAGGATTTACTTTCAGGAGCAGCAGTTACAAGGACCTTGTATTGTAGACATAGAACATTATTAAAGGCAAGTCCATTTTAATTCAATGACTCTATAACTTATTAAAGAGGGCCAAATAATATGTATGACCTAAATCTAATCATTTTTGTCCCAAAGAAGCAATGATTACGGAGGAGGCTCATTAATTAGTAGTCCTTATTTCCTACCACTCTTAGACCAGAATTCTCCCAAGGGGCATTGTGAGGGTTCTTAATTTATGGAGAAAATAATTCTGTGATAAATTCATTTTGTGAAAGGCCAATTAAAACAAAATTAAACACAAAGGATGGAATTGCATTTCCCCAAACTTACTTATTTTCTCCACACTATCTCACAGGACTTGTGTCCTAATCACCACACTTTACCTCAGGAACTCTATCACTGTGCCTCCTAGACTTCCTCCCATTAACCAGATCAGGACAGGATGTCTTCAAGCAGATATTCCTTTTATATTATTCATTATTATTCTCTTCCACTCTTCTTTCAATGCTATTAGTTTGTTCTTCTTCAAATCACCTGCTCAGAAAACTTCATCTGCATAGAACGAGGTGTTACCCTTCCCAAATCAAGCCAATTAAGCATTTATTACTTATTAAATTATTGGTTTATTTAATTGATTATTTAAGTCCCAATGAAAATGTCTTGCTTTCAGTGAAGTTTAGGCACACATGATTATACACAAGGAACTACATTTGACCTACCCTGTCAACCATTGCTGTTCGAATTAATAATCATTGCTTTGTTTATGTGATGAGCTTGGATATGATATGCACAGAAAACATTAATTCTAATTAAAATATCGGTATTATAAGGGAAAAAATAAAATTTTCACTTAGAGCAACACTATCATCAAGGAGCAGTGATCAAGTTATAGTAAGGGTTAAGTGGCTATTCTTTCTCTAGTATTTTAATAATTTCTTTCCTAAAATGCAGCACGAAATTCTATACTTTATTTTTAACTCACATTATTTACTTTTATAATAAAGTGAAAACTTTTAAAATTGAATATTTTGCAAATGTTTTTGGCCAGGAAACCCCAGCCAATTTACCAACCAATCTATTAATTTCTGAAATTTTTGAGGAAGGGAGCCATTGGCGCACACTTTTGTGATGACTTGAATAGGTCTATTGTGTGCCTTTTTCTTTGGCTGGTAGACCTTTCCTTGTGAGTTGGTGACTGATTTTGATAGTACTCTTTTCACCTTGTTAACTGTTGCTTTTAATGTCATCACGGTATGTTTTCAGAGACACTATTGAAAATTGGCAAATGTATCCTAAATCCTCCAAAATTCTCTTGTGGAAAAATATCCACAAAATCCATTTGAGGGCTAAAGGAAACCATCTGAGGACCACACATGATTCTGAGGGTAAGGAATAGTCCAGGATCCTACTGAGCACGTACAGTGGGTGGAGATGAACACTTAACACTGCAAATAACTATGATAAGAATAATCACAATCCAAATAATCACTTTAAAAATAATAATAGCTATCATTTGCTGGGGTAGGTGGTACAAGCCTATGAATCACTGGACTCTGGAGACATTGGCAAAAAGATTGTGAATCCAAGTTCAAGGTTAGTCTGGACATCACAGCAAGGCACAATCTCAAAACAACAAACAGATTCCTTTGTGTTGGAAAATTATTCTCTCTGTATGACTATAGGTAGATTATAATCCTGAAAAATATGTAAAAACACAAATAACTTTCAATAAAATTCTATTTCATCAATGCTCAAATTTTTAAAATTGATTTTTAGGCTAGTGTACAAAGTAACGGATTTCATCACAGCATTTCATATGTTAGCCTCCTCCATGTGGCCATTTGTTTGGGAACAGTAGGAAAGTAGAGTGGATAAGACCAGAGCATGCACGCGTGGGTGCACCCACATACACATCCACACCCCCCACACCCCGCACACACACCCACACACCCACACCCCCCACACCCC